ATGCTTGTGCCAACACCATAAGTCAAACGCATTACCCAGTGTCCACCTTTCACATACGTAGGAAGCCATTGAAAACACCATGGCGTGGATCAGTTGCATCTTAGTCCTCAAGGTAACTTCCTTGCTTTTCCACATTTTTCCCCATCATTTTATTGGGGGCTCTTACAGCTCTTATAACATTCCATACATCAATTGTATCAAGCATATTAGTACATATGTTGCCATCATCACTACTATAGCATTTTCTGCTTGAGCCCTTGATATAAGCTCCTCTTCCCCCACTCCCTTCTCCAACCTCCCACCCTCCTGTATCCTTGAGCAATTATATATTGTCATTGTTATTTCACATCTTATACTGCCCTTTGTCTCCCTTCACCCACATGTCCATTATCCGTCCCCTTCTCAGGTGGTGGGGATGGGGGCTGTGTATCCAATCTTATGATGGGTTCCCCTTTTCTCACCCTTCCACCTCCTCACCATCACCCCTACATTCATGCTATCACTACTCCCATTACTATTCCTGAGAGGTTTATCATTCCTGAATTCCCTGTGTGGAGAGTTCTTATCTGGACCAATGTGTGTTCTCTGGTCTAGCCAGATTTATAAATGAGAACTGGGACATGGTAGTGGGGATGAGGAAGTATTCAGGAACTAGAGGAATGATGTGATTCGTTGGTGCTATACTACACCTTGATTGAATCATCCCTTCCTTGTACCTATGGGGATATCCAATTGCCTATGGATGGGTTTTGTATCTCCACTCCAACCCCCCCTTTCACATCAATATAGTTGTTTGTTTTGGATCTTTTGATACCTGTTGCCTGACCCTGTCAACACCTCATGATCACACAATACATGCTTCTTCCATGTGAGTTTATTTGCTCCCCTGTTAGATGGCTGCTTCTTTGACTCAAGCCTTTAAGACCCCAGACCCTATATCTTTTGAAAGCCGGGCACCATCCACTCTCTTCACCACATTTGTGTATGCATCCATTTTGTCTTCAGCAATAATGTTGGGGAGATGAGCATCAAAGAGTGCCAGGTTATCAGAACCAAGTGTTCTTGTGTTAAGGGAAGCCTTGAGTAGAGGCCCAACGTCTGTCTGCTATCTTACTATTTATCATATAAATATATGTACATTGACTTCTATCCCTTTTGTTATAAATTAATATATTTACATATATAAATGCCTATAGCTATAACTCTATAAATAGCTTTTGCCTCCTATTTCTTTCCTCTATTTCCTTTCACCTTCCTCCTGTCCTATTATCATGATCACCCTCCATTCAGCTCTCAGTATTTCCTCTCTGATACTTTGCTCTTGATCACGCCCCACTTGGCATTATACACCCTCTTCACCATCACTTTTAGATCTCTTGTTGTTCCCTTCTCTGAGTTTGTTGGCTCCCCACCCGCTCCTCTCCCATGTCCCACCAGAACCGCTGGTCCCATAGTTTTCTCAGGATTGTTTATCCTGTCTATCTTATATAGATAGACATGGGGCGAAAGAAAGAGGGGGGAAAAAGCAGCCTAATAAAACAAACAAACAAAACAAAGCAGAACAGGAGAAAAACCAATAGTTCCAGGTCTGTCTGTTGAGCCTCATGTATGTTTTCTGGTCAAGTCTGATGAGGTGCCAAGCCCTGTTCACCAAGTCAGAAGTCTATTTTCAAGATTCCTTGGGGACTTGGTTACTTTGCTCCCCTTGCTGCCCAGTTGCACTCCCTCCGCATTTCACCCCACACTTCATGGGTACACTTTCCGCACAATGTCTCCAGTGCTGTCCCCTGCAGTGCTACGAGTCAGGGAGGGAATGTCGTGTCTCATGGTGGGGCCAGACCTATGGTCCTCTCTGTGCACTGGCTGCTCTGAGTAGGGATGTTATCCCTGGGGCTTGTTGGGCTAGGATGAGATTCGTGTTCTCTCTCTCTCTCTCCCGCCCCCCTCTCCCTCCTAGTTCACTTCCATGTGGTCTGGACAGACCTTCCTCCTCTCTTCAGTATTGTCCTCTGTGTTGACTTCTTCTGGGGAGGGGGACTTTCTATAGAGGTCCTGTGCAGATCTGCCCAATGTGATTCACACTTTGATCTCTGACTGCTGCTTCTATGAGCACAGAGTACAGACTAAGAAATGGTCAGCTAATAATCCCTGGGAAAATTCATGTTAGCTGTCCTCAAAACAAATGATAGAATCTCATGTCCTATTACGTTTCAGGCATAATTATTCTGTTATTAGTCGTGTTTTACTCTCTTTCAGCTCAAGAAAGAGGCAGTTGACAACTTCAGGTGTTTTGTAGTGCTCATGGATCTTTCGTCAATCATTAAGAATACTGTCCAGAACAGAGCAGGCCTTGCTAAAGATTGCATAGCCCTGCTGAAGATTCTAAGGCTGCATGTATCATTTGAGTCAGCCTAATAATCCTCTCCTTATCCTAAGTACAAAATCCCGGTAGATTCCCTCTCAATCTGGATTGCTTTGAGCTAAACCATGCAGTGGGCACTCACTGTCCACTATTTAAATATGAGAGTATTTTAAAACTGAGTGGGAAAGTTTCACTATCCTTTCATTCTATTTTTCCACAACCTTTTTGAAACCTCTCCCTCCCCTTTATCCTCCAAATGTACAGGCTCTACATCCATAGATTTAACCAACTGTATATCAAAAATATTCAAGAGGGGAAAAAGGGAATTAAATCATTAAAACACTCCTTCTGAGGCAACTAAGAGGGAACATAAAATGCTATTTACATAGTGTTTATTTTTGGATTAAATATGACAAGTAATCTGCTTGGGTTGTTAACTGCCAAGTCAGCAGTTCGAAACCACCAGTAGCTTCAAGGAAGAAAGAGGCTTTCTGCTCCTGTGAAGACTTATGGCCTCAGGAACCCACCAGTGAGTTTGGTTTTTAGAGATGATTTTAAATATATGACAGCAGTATGTAGGTTATATTGCAAATATCATGCCAATTTATATGAGGGACCTGAGTTGGTAACTGTATGGTGGTAATAGTAGTAAGGGTACCTGGAACTAATCTCTCTCAGATACTGAGGGCCAATTAAACACAATACTAAATAATGCCATCTAAAAACCAAGTCACCAAGTCGTCACCACCACCACGACTTATATTTAGTCGCTGGCTTAGCACGCGGGACCATCAGGATGCTTTCTGCTAAAATCGGCAAATGCACTATACTAACACCAGGTTTTAATTTGGTCAAGGAATTCGATTATTAACACTTCTCTTATTTTTCAAAATAAATTTATATTCCTTTCTAAGTAGGGCAGAATTGAAATATCTCAATCTAGCCCTGAGGTGTAAGAGGAGATTCTTTAAAGGCATCTATGATAGTTAAGGTTTGGTAGTAACTTGGCTGGGCCACAATTCTCAGCAGTTTGATAGTTAAGACAAAGAAATTCCCACATGACGAGATCTCTCTCTTCAAGGACATGACCTGTGTCCAATACAAGTGGACACTGTGGGAAAGTTTGCTGTACCCGGATCCTATATCTGGCCCATCTTCTAGTTTGGCCTGCAGTTAGTGGCCTGTTTGAATTGCCTGCTGACCCTGGAAATTATCAGTACCTTCCCAGCTTATCTTACCTGCCAGCCTTGGATTGATCTATCTCTGCAGCCAGAAGCCTGACCCTGACCTGCCAATCTTGAGGGTTCCTCAGCAGTTGCTATCTTACCTGCTAACCTGGCATTCATTCACTTCGCTAGCCAGAAGCCTGACCTATCCATCTCGGGATCATTAGGGCCTGAACCTAAGAGAGTTAGAAGAAGCCTCTGCCCTGACACCTGACCCATGGACTTGGAACTCTATAAGCTTCTACTACTGTGTGAGCCATGTCCTAGATATGCACCTCTTGGTGTATATACATAATATAAGCCTCAATGGTTTTTTGCTCTTTACAGTACCCAGCCTAAGGCAACATCCTTCTAGCCTGTATCTGTAGGGAGAAAGACGACCTCTTTTTTTGGGGGGTGGGGGTGGGGAGCAAAAGGCAGGGTCCTAACTGATGAAATGCAGGGAGCCTCCTTCACATCTTCACACCAAATGTAGAGAGCCAGCCTCCCACTCAGCAGACTCACATCTCACTTTAATCAGCACAGCTGCCATCAAATTCATTTCTCCCCATTCACCATGGCATCCATTCTGATTTATGGCGACCCCATGTTTTAGAGTGAAATTGAGGGACAGGATTTACAACAGCTGAATATCCAAAAGTAGGTCCCCAGGCCATTTTTCCGAGGTGCCTCTGTGTAGATTCGAAGGACTAAACTTTTGGTTGACAGCCGTGTGTGCAACTATATGCACCATCCAGGAAATGCTATTGCCAGCATATAAAGGACGCGGAACCCAATCCTGGCGACAGGTCAGCTGCTGTCAATGGCTCACTCGAAACTCTGCTTTGGGAGAAGGAACCTAAACGACGATGAACTAACCCTTCTTTGACAGTCCCAACACGAAACCTGTGTTAAGAAAGATCTGAGAACAGATGAGGGCCATTTGGTTTGGGCCTGTGCAGAAATGTCTTCACCAGGCTATGGCTGGAGATCGTGCACATTCATCCCCTATGTCCCCAAAGCCAGGGCTGGAGTATGCCATTTATTCAGTAACTGCATCTACTGCAAAACGATATCAGGAAAAGGTCACCCATGGTTGTTATCCAACGCATTTTCCCATAAACGCCCACACAGTAACCTCTGCTGTGTGCTTAGATACCAGGGGTGGGGAGTCAGGGCACAATGTAACTAGAGTGTTTCCCCATTTCACCTTGACAATCAGGAAATTCAGCATCTAACCAGAGTGATTTGAGTTAGCTCATCCTCAGTGCCAACCTATTCACCCCATCATAACTGGCCTTTGTTCTACTGTGTCCATTAATTATGTTGTGTTCAATCTTGTAAACTGCTTCATATCAGAGTCTATAGACAAACTATATAAAACATGCTGTTCTTGGGTAAATGTCTGCTTTCCTTCGCCAGATCATTCTTACCTGCATATGAGTCTATTTTTCACCAGGGCTGTAAAGATCTCCTGAAATACTTTGTGCTGGGGGTGTTTGCTGAAATTTCTCTCATTCTTGTAGTTTATACTGAGAGGAAACAAACAGAAAAGCTTTAGGTAATAGAAAACATTTAGGGTGCTGTGAATTTCACAGTGCAGGCAAAAATTATATGGTCTTGCAACTACAGAAGAATTCTTAGGGTTGAACACAGTGTTAATGGTAAGCAGCAATTGTTAAAATTTTCAAAAAGGAAAACCATTGTGCTGGGTTGATGCCAACTCATAGCAACCCTAAATAGGGTTTCTAAGAAGCCTCATCTTCCCCGCTGTGAGCAGCCGGTGGGTTTGAACCACCAACATTGTGGTTAGTGGCCGAGGGATTCATCCATCGCATCACCAGGTGCCTACATTGTTAAAATAGGAACTAAAAATTCCTATTTTATGAAGTTAATAATGTAAGTAATCCAGCACATGTATTTCATCTTAACATACTATCAAAATTATTTCCTATAAACATTTAATATCTAAAACGGGGCTGCAGGGGGAAGAGAGCTAGATGGAGAGAAAGCGGTTAGGGCCCATTTCTCTAGACAGCTGTGATATAAGCAGAGAAGAATTCCTTTATTCCTTCTACCCGGCCTCTGCTCCACCACTGGGACTGCCGGCTCCATTGGCTGGCTCCTGTGGTTCCTTACAGATCACCCGGCACCACCAGTTGCCATGAAGCCGATCCCAGCTCATGGAGATCTCATGGGTCAGGACAGAACTGTCTCCATACGGTGCTCAAGAGCTGACTCTTGGATCACCAGATCACCAGAGCTTCCACCGAGGTACCTCTAGGTGAACCCAAACCTGCAACCTTCTGGTCAACAGCTAAATATCTTAACCACTTGCACCATTCAGAGAATCCTTGTAGACCGCCATGGTTTATTAAAGACAGTCTACACCCTGTCAATGTGAGCATTTTGCCACTGCTTTTTGCAAGGCTGTGCATTTTGAACAAAGTGTCGACACTGTCCAGTTTCCACTTCTAGTTGCTGACATGACAGCCCACCAAACAAGCTAAAAAGCTCCCCGAAAACATTCCACGCTGAAACGGGAGAGGATAAAAACTAATGCACAAAAGGGACACAAGGCTCTAGAGTACGCGATACACTCTTTTTGTGCACGTAGAAGCCATTCAGTTTAAAGCTTAGGCCCAAGGAGCTGGGATTACATAAGCACAGGCAGGTGCTGTCACCGTAACCTTACACGACCTTCCCAGCCTTTCGGGTGTCACTGGACAGCACGTCACCATCCTCTCCAGGTGAGAGAGACGATAGTTTCCCTGTACTCAAATCAAACCCTGGGAGGCTGCTTGTGTGACCAAACTTAAAGTCCTTCATGTTCCTCACTAAAACAGTATCTTAAATATATTAACATATTAATAACCACGGGACATTCCTGGCTGTTAAATCCACTGTCATGAAATGAGAGAAAACAACCCTAGGTCAGGAAGAATGGGGGCAAATGGTCAGTCTAGAATGCTCATATTAGCATCCCAGGCCAGTCATAATTTACATAGTACTTAGTCCCAAATGACCTCAGCACACTGTGAAAAGAAAAGAAGCAATTCCTGGAAGGGGAGTGGCCCTAGGGACATGCTGCTTCTAGGAGACCTTCATGCACTGGCACTTCCAGGGTGAGAGGGGAGGTGAGATCCCTCCAAAGGAAGGGTTTGGTTGCTTTGACAACCACATTCCTCAACCACACCGCCTCACTGCAAAAGATTCCTGTATGCCTTCCGTGATCCTGATTGGCAGGACGCAGGCTGAGGACAAGTGACAGCACAAGCTGGGGATCAGCCTGGCTAGGTCGACAGTCTGGAGCCACTTCCTCATTGAGCCCATGCCCAATGCACATCAGCACTGCGTCCCCAACCCCCCCAGGTCAGTGTCACCCACAGCCACAAAGCCTGCTATTTACAGGCAACTTCTGGGAATGGCTTAAGCAATGAATTAAAAGTATTCAATAAGGAATCAACACAATACATTCTGAAAGGGGCTTATAAAACCTTAGTTAGCTACAGTGGCAAGCCTACATAAGGCTTAGGGCTAAGTAGAATAGATGGTTGGAGACAAGGGTGACACTGGATTTCTTACCTAAAATTTTCAAGTTCAACAGCTTCGGTGGACTCATGCCACTGACCTCGAGCTCTGTGTCCACCCACCTTGATGGCGGGCTCAGACTTCGTCATGCTATGTTGGGCACTCTCGAATTTAATGGCTGGAAGCTACAGAAATAGAAGCACAGAGTACATGAGGATCACAGTTAAGCACAGGACAGACAGTAACTAAATGAGGGTGGAGGAAGGGTGAAAGCAGTGTGGCTCTTTCCCAAACCACTGATGAACCTGGCAGCTGTGTCAAACGTAGGGTTCCCCCCAAGATTTAAACAACGCTAACTTAAATGTTTACTCTCTGCTTCATTTGACTTCACAGCCTATACCACCACCTGTCATATCCCACAGTCATTTATTTCCAGTCTCCTCTGATGACAATGTCCCAAGCAGGAACTTGCCTGTGTGTCTGTTCAATGCTGTATCCCCATAACCTAACAGGCAGTGCTGGCAACGTATGTCTGGGGGAAGGCCTGGAGCGTGTGCAGCTTGCTGAATGACAGAGGTGCAAGCACACGAGAACGTTTCGGGATGCAGCTAGAGCACACTGGTGAGGGGTCCAGACTAAGGATGAATCATCATGCATGCCATGCCATTCATTCCTCAGCACTGACCACATCTGCGCAATGCGTGCTGTGGGTGGTAGGGACATAGAGGTGTCAAAGCCTTAACCTTCTGAACACGCAATTATAGTTATAAATGCTGTACCATAGGACTCACCGTACAAAACTAAAAACTCACTTAAATTAGCAACCATACCTTGACTACACCCCATTTAGAATATGGCTAATTATAACAGAGATGCATTCTAACAAAGACAGGGTTCAACAGCCATCCAAAGGGTGGGGTGGGGTGGGGAGTTCTTTGTATGCCAGCCATGGTTCAGTTCTCCAGCAAGAACGGTGTGTTTACAAGAAGAAGAATAAAACTTCCACACCATAATACTCTCTTTCTCAGTGTCCAGTGGATCAATCTACAACAGACCGTGGGCACTGGAGGCAGCAGGGCTCTGTGAGTAAGAGAACCAACTGCAGACTATTTTCCCTGGGTTGAAATCCACCATGAGCCAGCTGCATGAGCTTGAGCAAGATATTTAATCTCCCCGTCCATGCGCTGCCACAACTGGACAATAGAAATGGTAACAGTAATAGTACATGACTCATGGAGTTATTTGGAGGATTCAAATGAGCATTTATAAAGCGCTGACTATGTGTCCGTTATATTTGTTAACCCAAATAACATTGGACATGAAGTCCCATCAGGGAGTGAACTTTTCCTGCACAGCACAGGACATGTCATGGCGCACAGTGAACAGGATGTGGTTGTGTACGCGGGGCCCAAGGGATTCAAACCCCCTCGGGGGTGATTAGAATCGTCAGAACTCTGACTGCCAGAGAGAAGGCAGCCAGGCAGCTGATCCTGGAAGTCAATTGAAGGAAACTTAGTGGATGCAGCAGAGTTGACATCAATAGCTGTAAAGGCTTAGAATTTAATAGTAGGAACGTGGGAGCAACTAAATATCTTTACGCAAAATCTGTGGTGGGTTCAGAAATCAGTTCAGAACCCAGAGCCTTTGCTCTTGGCCCCTAATTCTTCAGACCCTCTGGTGTATCCTTCAGCGTCTACTGTAGGATCAGTAAAACATACATGGTTCTCTTGGTCGAACACCACCCCCCCCAACCTGATACAGACAAGACCCGAACACTCCTAGTCAAAGCGGCCGGTGAGCAGCTTCTGTATGGACTTCTGTTGTACTAAAGCCATGGGTTCTGTTTCGGGATATCATTCCCGACATCATAGTGGTAAACTTCAACATAAAGACATCGAAAGGACAACAACATCCAAATTCATATAGATAACTTCCGAGGGTGTCCTTTCGGACAAGTGATAGTACTTAAGGACTCAGACTTGGAAACTTCCTCAAAGGGCACAGGCTATCGTGATCCTCATCACCTTCATCATCAGCGGTGGCATCAACAGCTTCACAGCGCTTACCACAGCTTTCATGATTGCTCTCCAGGTATGATATGCCGTTGATCCCCATAACAACTCCGTGAGGCAGACACCGGCTGACAGATGAGAAAACTGAGGCACAGAAGAGTTCAGAGACTTGCCAAAGACACAGAGTTGGCACTGTGGCTTAAACACAGACAATCTACCCCATCTCCAATATTTTCCGTTCTCCAGCACTGACGTGTGTCCCTCCAGGGATGAGAACATCATAGAAGCAGCCCATCTGGTTTTCAGTGTTCTGTCCTTCCTTAGATGGAGATTTTTTTTTTTTTTTTAAATCCCTGTGTAAAGCCATGATCGCTTTGCTTTTCAATGCAGGCTGAATGGAAAGCCAGGCTCCAAGTTCTGGCTGCATTAAACTGGTCACTGGACCAGGAGCACATCTCACACGGCTCCATGCTTGGGCCTGTGCAGGCGGTAACTCCTGCTCACATTTCAGGGCTCAGATCCAACCATCTCCTGGGTAAACGGCTGCCCCAGCGCCTCCTGGGTAGAGCTCTCGGTGCCCTCCCCGGGTGGCATGACTGTCCCACTTCTCTGACCACAGGCAACACGCCCTGCTACCATGTCTAATGGGCACAGCAGCCTTTCCCCACTCAGTCTGGCCATCCTGATGTTCTTAGGACCTCACCCAGGGTCTGGCACCTAATAGGTGTTCCGATATGAAGCTGTGCTATGAATGTTCACCTTGGTCCCAGTCTTTGCTAGATGGATCCATCTTGTCAACCACCTCCATTCACATTGCTTGTAGACCCATTGCGTATCAAGTGTTGTGTGAGATACTGGGTATACTAAGCAGAATGGCCCGGCCTCTGCCTTCAAGGCGTGTACGGGCCCATGTGAACAGGAGTTTGGACTGTGGACCAGCCATGCGAGGAACATTCCAAGGTATTCCGGGCGGATTTTCACACCGGCTGGAAGGAACGGCAGTCGGCAAACTTTGGCTCTCGACCATAAGCAGTTTTTTGGGACTCGGGAGTAAAATGAAATTTTCAAAAGGATATTATTCAGATAATGGTGATTTCCTTTGTTTGCTAAAAAATATATTTATGGTTCTTGAATAATTTTTAAATTGTTCTGTGGGACAGGATTGGTTCTTCCATCTCAAAAGACTGCCAACCCCGGGCTAGAAGGTACAGGGTGAGCGAAAGCGAGGACGACAGGCAGCAAAAGGGAACGGCAGAGGGGCTGAAACAGAACAATAACGGTGAGGGTTTGGCTCGATGTTGACTCTCCTGCACCTGGCGCCAACAACAGAAGGCAGAGAGCGACATACCCAGTTCTCCATGAGCCGGAAGGCACTTCTGCCCCTCACACAATGAGAGTGGCCAGTACAAGGCCAGAGCCAGGCTGCGTCAGGCAGGACCTTCCGAAACATTGGTCCCATCGCTCCTGCGCAGCAATTTCCACACCCGTTGTTAGTGGGAGATCAAGTATGAAACTGTCAGAGGGCCAGCAGGCACTGCCCCGCTCCTCCAGGTTTAGAGCCACTCCTGATGAAATCTCTGCCCAATGTGTGCCACGTTCCTGCCATCCTGCCTTCAAATAGCTGCTTGCTTTGCTCCCTTTGGGCAGGATGCCTTTCCCAGCAAGCCCCCTGATTTAAAAAAAAACAAAAACAGTCTCGTTTTCAAGAACTATCTCCTTCTGTGCCACCTGAGAAAAGAGAGGCCTCCTCTTCCTCCTCAAAATGCATACAGCCCATGGCTCTTACCACTCAGCCAGGACCCCTCTGTGCAGACACCTTGCAGAGGGAACCCAGGGGGAGTTCTGCTCAGTGCTATAGGGCCGCTGTGTGTCCGAATTGGCTCAATGGCAGCGAATGTGAGGGTCTGGGGAGGAGTACGCCTCATCTCTTCAAGCACGGGACCCTTCTATCTGTCCTCTACATAGCAACTGTCAAAATCCCTTTTGTTTCAAGGAAATGAACAGGCCAACAATGAGTGATTTTTGGTTTTCTTCCATCTTTTTTTTTTTTTTTTAAACCTGCCTTGCAGCTCCCACCGGCTCTGACTGCAGAACGGGCCAAGAACAGAGCGCAAACAAAGACACCTTCAGCCCAGCTCCAGGCAGATGCCTCCGTGAGTCACGAAAAGCGCCCAGTGAAATCTCGACCTCTTCCCTCTCAACAGCCTGGGGGCCGTTCTTTTTTCTGGAGTTATTGGGTTTATTGGGCCATTCTGATTCTAAGCATGCTACCAGGGAGGGGACCCTGGGCCGGATGAGTATGTGTGTGTTCTCAGTGTCCTCTGTCTCGCAGAACAGTGGGCACAGAGAGACCAGGAAGTGCGTCAGGACAGAGCATGCATGCGTGGAACACAGACACACAATGGAGCGATAAGGGGAAGGGCCTGCCCGTCTGGTTAGAACTTCAGATGCAGGACATTCCGTTCTTTCCAATTGTCTGCCTAAAGGCGAGTCCTCTGCAGCCAGCACATGGCCAGCCCACCCCGCTGGCAAATAGCAAGTCATGTCTTCTTCACTCAAAAATCAAACTCACGGCCACCGAGTCAATTCTGACCCATGGCGACCCTACGGGGAGAGTAGAACAGCCTGTGGGTTTCCAAGATGGTCCCGCTTCCCCGGAGTAGAAAGCGTCATCTTTCTCCCCAGGGCTTCCTAGTGGAGTAGGAATTCAGGTGTGTGAACCTGACTCCCAGACTTCCCCCTTTTCCAGTTGACTGTAAAAAAAGCTCATAGCCAAACGTGGTCTCTTTGCCTATTTGATGGGCACTTCTTCTTGCACTTGACTCTACTTTGCTGATGGTGTGTCTCTCCTTTGGTCCCCGTTACGTTAACCTGCCATGCTTTTAAGCAACCCTAATTGGTACTGGGTGGCGGCTAACCACAGTGTTGGTGCCTGAAACCCCCATCCGCTCCTCCAGAGAGAAATCCCTAAAGAGCAGTTCTACTCTGTCCTGGAGGGTCGCTGTGCAACAAAGTCAATTTGAATACGGTGGGGGGTGAGGGGAGGTGTATGTGCGCCTGCTTGTCATGCTTTGCGTGCCATAGTGGGTGATCTGTTGGGCAGCTAACCAGAAGGCCCGCAGTTTGAAGCCACCAGGCATTCTGAGGAACAAAGGTGAGGCTTTCTAATCCCCTGAAGAGCTACGAAGTATGAGAAACCCACAGGAGCAGTTCTGCCCTGTCCTATAGGGTTGCTATGAATCAGGATCAAGTCAATGGCAGTGGGGTTTGAGTTATTAGCACTCATGGTCCCTCCATGTGTTTCCAAGAACTGCGGCCCATGGACTTTTCTTTCCTTCTTCTTTATTATTACAGCCTTGATTATTCACTTTATTTTTCTTGTATGACAACGACTATGTGGTGACCGTGGCTGGAGCCTGCATCCACTGCGCAGAGATTGGTCCTCAGCACAGCGGTGGGGGAATGAGAGCTGTGGCCCCCAGGCAAAGTTGTCCGGGTGGCAGTGCAGCCCCTGGTCAAGGTGTAGCAATCGTCACTACTATCCAGCAGCAGAAGCAGCTTCTTTGGCACAGAGGCCGATGCCATGCCAGTGCCTCTGTGCCAATGCCACGCCAGTGCCTCTGGGAGCGGAGATGAGGCACCCCAGCACAGAGCTGCCGAAGCCCATCACTTTGCAGGCACTGTGTGAGGGTGTGCCCATCTTGTGTCCTCAGTGGCCTCTGAGTCCAATAGGGCACTTGGCCAGAATGATGGCCCCTTGGAGGGCAATGGCCACCTCCTTGGTGCACTTAAGCCCCAGACAAACATGCCACTCTAGTCCTCAATGGTGACAAATGCCTTGACTCTGATCTACCAGACAATGCACATCTGCTTCTGCACAGGCATGATTTTCAAAACCTCTTCTTTGAAGATGAAGAAGTCGATGATCACAGACTCCCAGATGGACAGGGAGCAAACATCCCCTCCAGGAGCTTGATCTGCGTGTCCTGGACCAGCCAGCCCAGCTTGCTGGCTAGGAGCCACACCTGGTCCTGGCTTCTCTTCTGAGAGCTCCCAGGCCGACTTCCACTACTGAAGCCTTGGTGGAAAACCACTGAGAGCTGCCATCCCTGGTACACAGGCACCTCTGGGCCCTCCTGCTACACCAGCCGCATCCACTAGTTAGTGTTTCCTTGAAGATGTCCTAAGTTTTCCAGAGCTGTGATTTTTCTCAGAAACGGACTGCTAGGCTTTTCTCCAAGAAACGTCCAGGCAGATTCAAAAGTGCCCATTCGTAACTGTGTTAGTCTGGGTAAACCAGGGAAACAAATCCACAGAAATTCATATACATAAGAGAGAAGGGTAAGTGTACATTAAGAAAACATCCCAACCCAGTGCTGCCCAAGCCCATAGGTCCAGCATTACCCCATATGTCCGACACCAATCTACAAAGTCCTCCTCAATCTCACAAAACACACACAATGATGCC